CTCCCTTCGTATCTCTCTTTCTTCTCTCTCTCTCTCTCTCTCTCTCTCTCTCTCTCTCTATCTATCTTCTCATCTTTGGTTGTTGTTTTATTTTTAACTCCCATTTCATCAACTAAAACATTATGATCCCAACCAAGAAGACATGGATCATCACTAGAATTGTTGATAATCAAATCAACATTAGGGTTCATGTTCTTCAACCTGGAGGGGTGAGGAGAGAGAGAGATGCTGATTGACTAAAAGTTCATGTTTAAGCCAACTCCCTTGCAGCAGTGCCACAAGTCAATTTCATGTTTGATATCAATGGGAATGGTATAGCGATCATCTCAGCCAAAGATAAAATCATAGGTAAAAGGCAATGAATAATCATTCGTTCATGCTGAGGGTTCTCAAAAGAAGACATAGAGATGATAGTTAAAGAAGTTGAACCATTAACCTATTTTGATAGAACACTCTAACATCGATTCATAATGTTCAACTTTATTTTGATGGGGAAGCACTGATTTCAATACACAATCACTCTATTTTGATTGGGTCCATAATTCGAAAGTCCCAAGATCAAGCCTCAATATCAATGTACAGTGTTCACATTCAAGAAGACAATGAATTTAGCAGAGGATTTATGTTCATCCACTTCAAAAATAGAGGAGTTTTCCCCAGCCAGGGAAGTCTAATGCAGAAGCAATGGAAACATACAACGCAGCATGCTAAAAGTGTCTTATTTCCTATTCTTTAGGATTCTAGGAATCTTATTTTGATGGGATTGGTTAGCTAGTTAGATGAAGAAGGTAACATAGAAAGGTATCACATAGAGGAGTCCTTCAAAGAACAATTGCCTATTTTATGGGAAAGTGCATGGAGGTCTAGGAGATTGAAGAGGAATTTCACTAAAATTATGGGAAATTGGGATGGAATTCACATGGATTCCCACAATGTAGGAGGGGTAGAGAGAGAAAGTATATAAATGGGCGAGAGAATAGGATCTTTGGCTTCATTTTTATTTGAATTATTTTAGAAGGACTTGTATAAATGAAGTTGGACACCACATGAAAGAGCTCAAAGTTGTTTTGCTAATTATTTTGTTTAAGTCCTAGTTTCACCAAAGAGCTAGAAGTTTGGCATGCAAGAAGCTTCAACCCTTTTATTTCAATCAAATTATTAGAGTTTAGTTTGGTTCTATTCTATTGTTAGTTCATATTTGCATCGTACATTTGAGCAAATTGTGGGAAATATGTGCATTGAGAGGACCCCTGTAATTGAGTTGGATCATGTACCATAAGGGTACACCCGTAATCCATTGAGAGCCAAATGATAGGAAGTTCTGGCTCAGCGGCTTTGACATAGCCAATTATGTATCCTTGCAATAGACAGTTGAACATATGTCCATTGATTAATCTAAGACTCGACAGAACATCATTCGCTACTAGCCCAATGGAGTACTCCGACACCTACAACTATGAGCCTACAATTATAAGTTTGAGATCTCGCTATACCTTTTGTACGGTTTTATAATGATGAGAAAACTTAATAACTGCTCACAAATACTTTAAATATTTATTGTAAATTTTAGAGATTTTTTTAGAATTTTTATTTGCTAAAAAATGAGGTTTTTTGAATTGTTTGGCTCAAATTTCACTTTAGTCCTGACCTGGAAGTGCCACGTGGCATCCGAGTGGCCATAGGGCTGCCACATGGCACCCCACGCCCCACCCTAGGATCACCACCCAGCTGGGTGCTGATCCTTAGGCGACGAGGAGGGAGGCGTTTGGCATTTGGTATTTGGTTGTTTGTTTTATAAAGGTTTGTATTATGGTGTCTTGTTATATTTTGTTATACAGTGTTATAACTTAAGGGTCCCTTTTTATCATATGTTTTAAATAACTTATACATGGGCCATGCATGGCATGTGTGTAATTCATTTATTTAATAATATTGAAGAGAAAATGGATTTTGAAATTTGAGTTGAAAAATATCTTCACACACATGTATGAAGGGGGCATTATCTTTGAATTGATTGGTTTGAAATTTTAGATCTATAAGGTAATTGGCTTTGATAAAGTAGAATCTCTTTATATGTGTGAGCTTTGCCAATTACTTCTTTGCTCATTACCCGGTAGTTCTCTACTCTAATACATTATTTAAAAACTAAAGGATTTTTTGTAAAAGTATATTGGATTCAATTGGAATAAAAACATGGGTCAAGGACAAATGGTAAAGTGGCGTAACTTAGGGTTAGTGTGAGTGATAATGGTGTGAAATCCCATCCTTTTATCCTAGTGTTTAGATGGGGATGGGTAGTTAGGTACATTAGGCTCTCATATGCCTTTGGATTAGTGCATCAAGGGTGTTGAATGAATCCAAGGTTACACGCATATTATAAAAGTACATGATAAGATCTCAAACCCTAACTCAACACTTGAACCAATTTTCTTGAACTTTGTGAGAGAAAATTGAAGAGAAAAGACCTTATGTTTTTCACAAAAGCTTTTAGAGTTTCATTAATGAATTTGGTGATCTTGATAGTGGTCCTTATTTCTTATGTTTGAGTCCATGGTGTACATTCATCAAAGTAAATTCCATCGAACTTTTTTCTCTCATAAGTTCATGTTCTTAGCATCTATAGTTGCTGGAGTTTTGAATTTACAGAAGTTTTATTGATCTTAGAATCCTCATTTGATCATCTTTTCCATCATACTTATTCATAGTGTGGTCCTGCATAAGTTATAACCCCATATGTATGAGAATCCATGATCATGCATAGTATCTTTTGATTATTTTGCTTCAAATCTATCAAATATCTTAGTCTCAGAGCATCACTAAATTTCCAGAAGTTTTCCATCACATTTTTTCTTATGGGGGTTCATAAACTTTTCATACAAGTTTCCTTTGGTGGTCCGAGGGACCACCGTGTGTAGTTTGGCCATAACTCTCTTGATTTTGATCCGATTCGATTCAAACCTTTTGCATTCTATTTTGGATGATAATGTCAATGTATTGAGATCTTAAAAAGTGATTTTAAGGTGTGTAATTTCTTCCCATTTGGATTAGACACTCTTGTAAGATTGAATCACTTTTGCACAATCTGAAGGGATAAAATTAAATCCTTATAGGGCCCGATTGCGTGCCCCGACACAAGGGGTTCGACACATGGCTTCCCCATCTTAATTTGGCATTCTAATTACTTGCTTAGTTGGTTTTATTCCCTAGGATTTTGTTTGGAACAGTTGTATGTTGTATTTAAGCTTTGGGACACAGGACATAGTTTACGTAAATTCATAAGCTAGTCTTGCTGTATATGTAATTGGCCCAAAAGGGGTTGATATTTGATTTTATTTACAGTGGTTTTACAACGCTAGAAATGGTTATAATTGTTATTTAAAAGACTGTAACCTATTTACTTGGTTTGGTTTTAAGCAAGTGGCTTGTAGAAGGTGTCCATTGTGACTTGTTTTTTGGCTTGGGAATTTGCTCTAGTCTTTGTACTCACTCTCACAAATTACCATGCATAATTACAAATGTCTTCAGTCTAAAAAGAGCAAATGATAACCTAAAATAACTTGAAATAAATTCAATCTAATATGAAAATATGTATAATATGGACGAGCATTAACTGTCATCCAGAGATCCTTCCTCTAGATAATCTATCTTTCCCTTTTACTGATCAAACTACAAAGAGCTAGAGAGATGTAACAAAAAATAAACGGTTTAACTTACAGGCTCATCAAATACTTCAACTTTGTAATTGAAGGTGAAAGAGTTCCTGAAAAGCCTTTCGATGCCAAGCTCCTACAAAGAAACATTTATTCTAAAAATGAACAACAATTAAGTTGCAAATAAAACCCTCAGATACCCATCAGACGAGTAAGATGTAAACCTTTAAATGTATAACCTGGATAAACATTACATAATGTTGTCTTTGCATATTACTCTGAAGGATAAATACTCACAAGGATATAACACGGCCATCAATGCAAGTGACAAATGACCAGCTGAAGCAAGGATTCACATAACTTCCATCCCAGCTAGAAATTTTGTTGTTGGAATCATTTAAGGCCACTTTAATCTCTATTAAAGCTTCACCTATCACAATGAAAACCAGATATTATGAAGTGGTATACACTTCCATCACGCAAGCACACAATAAAATCAATTTATCTTTACAAAAATGAGTATTTTTTTCTCCAACCAAAAATATATTGTTCTTATGTTTCTAGTTGATTGAATTCAATTTCAATGATACTGATCCTGACATAACGTCTTTGGGGAAAAAACATCATTAACACCTTCTGTCAGGCAGAGATCTTCTAATTCATTTTTCCACTTCAATAAAAAACCAACCAGTCAGACCAGTCTTTCAAAAATAATTTAGGTATCTAACAATTTAACCAAAAACAAAGAAAGAAAAAATTCTAACTGATCTATTTGGCCAGTCAAATAGGTCCAACCAGCCTGGACATTCCAACACATGCTCTGAACATTTAATAAGCGCACGTAACAGAGAAAGCTAAATGATTTACAAATTTGACCAATACTACTAATCCATGGAGGAAAGCTATCAAAGGTCAAGAGCACTAACATGAATGTCTCAAAAGAATTTGACATATCAGTGCATGGGTAAAGAATATCATGCCTTCAAGGGAGATGACCTAACTCAGTTGGACGTTAAGCAGGCGATAATAGCTACTACATCACAGAATTAGCTCCGCATCAGTTTTAGAGATCAAGTAGAGTAATTTGCAGGAGACTATTCCACGTGAGTGTAGAACATTTGGATGAATCATGTAGCTTCAGTGACCACAATGGAAATACTTGATAGATAGCAATAGGATCATGCATATACCCTATTTGTGGTAATTTTTTACATTTGCAAATTTTAATAATTTTTCAAAATTTCTACAGGGAAATTAAGGCCCTTTAAGACACTTGGTTCAACCCTCCAAGGCGCTGTGGACCAAACAGCAGAGGGCCACTGCACCCTTTCAACTAAAATGAGAGACATTGTTCAAAGTGTTCAAATTTTTAAGCATTACATGAATATACAGTTACATTTTGGGGTAGAAGGTGTTATCATGATTGTCGCTTTTCTTATTAATCGAATGTCTTGATATTCCTTTAATAGTATTTCACTAGCTGATATCGTGATTGATAGAATCTCAGGACCATCATGGACTTGGTGCTTAACTATCTTTGTTTCTGTTTTGATTACATATAATTTTGCATCTGACTCTCCCAGAGTTCTTTTTCTGCTCTAAAAATCCAATGTATAAGCTCATGGATAAGAAAGGCAAGAAACGATACCAAGCACATGGTTTGAAGTTGCATAGATTATGTAAATGCATGCCAGAACAGAGATTAAAAGAGAAGCCTATGCCTAAGTGGTGAGATAGTTCACATGGAAGGATGTGGAAAGGCGACATTTTCATTATAAATAGTTATGCTCATCTCCACAAGAATCAAAGTTATTTAAATCTTATACAATGAACATGATACAGTTAGCAGCAAATTCAAATATATCTAAACATCAAATGGCGCCAACATCAATGATCCAAATAACAAAAGTAGTTTAAATCATAGGGATTACCAACAAGGAAAGCTCACTGAGTCAATTGGACTCCTCCAATAGATGTGTTTTATAAATGAAAAACTTCATTGCGCCCCAAGTTGTTAGTTATATATAATTTGCTTGTGTTTTCATAGGGCTGTTGCCTTACGAAATTTGTTAAGCCACACCTCAAAACCAGAGATGGAAACATAGTTCCCACACTAAAGACCCTTGTGATTGCCTGTTTAGTGCCTCTAATTGTGGAGTTTAAAGCTCTAAAAATGATGCAGATTGAGCAGATCTCTGAAGACTTGAAATAGACAGTTCAAAAAACATGTTGCAAGATGGACCATTATTAGAGGTTAAAATCCATTTAGAGATAATTGATTTGCAAATTTTATAGGCTTTGGAACTGGGTTTTTCCAGCAAAATTTGAGGTGTGGCTTTATAAGGCTCTGACCCTATGATATACTTCCCTACATAATTTTTCATTGCATTTTTAATATGAGAAAAATTACCTACTGAGAAAATATGTGTTAGTAAAATTTCTTGACATGGTCATAAGCTAAGAGTCCCACTTTGGAGACTCAATATTTTTCCTGTGGCACCAACGCTAATGCGTTGCAGATTCAAGAAGTGGAATGTTAGGACCAATTCGAACTGCATCATGAGAGTCGACACGAAGACAACATCGGGGATCTCAGGGCGTTCCCCAAAATACAATGCACTGGTTTCACCCACAGCGAGGCAAAACGAGAATTTGTAGCCAGTGTTTCAAAAAGCACTGAGGCGGCCATGGGGGTGCAGGACGCCCAGCGCCTAGGCGGGCGTCTGGAACCTAGGCGGCCCAGTTGAAAGAAACAAAAAAAGTTGAGGGCTGTGGGCGAGTTAAAAAAAAAAAAAAAAGCTGATGACTACTAATGATTAATCCATAAGAATTTTGATAATCCATATTTTCATACAATGCTAAAATAGTAAAACCATACAAACATACACTAATAGTCTGATACACTGTAGACTGTACACTCAAAAATTAGATAGTAAAAGTAGAACTAGAAACTAAAAAGTAGAAACGAAAAATAAGAAAGAGAAAACATACAGAAATTCAAAAAATATACAGTCTATGAGACTATGACACATTAGTCAACACTCAACACAACAGTCAACACTCAACATCAAGAGTCTTCAATCATCATCATCATCATCATCATCATCAGAAGGAATAGGGTAAGCTTCATCATATGCATCAGAATCGAGGTCATCATCATCAGAGTCATCTCCTTCAATATAACGCTCGTCATCCTCTGTTTCTTCTGAATCTACCTCTTCCTCCTCTTTTTCTACCTCCCTCTTACTAGTATATGCAGATGAGGCCTTAGGAGTCTTAGCTGCTCTACCATTTTCTATCTTTTTGTGCTTCCCTAAACTCAAATATTGCATAATTTCCTCCCTGGTAGCATCAGGAACATTTTTACATGGTGCAACATCCCCCTTAATACCGGCAAGGTGGTTTTTAAAATGGTAAATGCCGCAATTAGTATCCTTTTCACAATAATTACAGTTAATATGAGTTTTGTCTTTCAAATTTGGGTTATAACCATACTTTCAACCCGGATTACCATTTCTAGAAGAACCTAAAGAAGATATTTCTATAGAACAAGGCTCATTTTCATCATTTTCTGGTTCTTTAAAATTCAGAAGTTGTCTAATCTCATCCCGAATAGCTTCAAGAACCTTTTTACAAGAAGCAATATTCTCTTTAATGCCAGCAAGGTGTTTCTTGAATCAGTTAATACCCCCATTGGTATCTTTTTTCACAAAAATTGCATCTTATACAATTTTTGTCGTTTGGTTTTGGGTTATAACCATACTTCCAACCCGGATCACATTCTTCTAGAAGTAGCAGAAATAGATCTATTCAAATGACAAGGATTTTGTTCCTGTTTTTTTTTTTACAAAACTCATATTTTGCTTAATCTCCTCTCTGATAGCTTCAGGAACATTTTTACAAGGGGCAACATTCCTCATAATACCGGCAAGATGTTTATTAAACCGGTTTATGCCCCCTTTTGTATCTTTTTCACAAAAATTGCATCTAATTCAATTTTTGTCATTTGGATTTTGGTTATATCCATATTTCCAACCCAGATCTCCACTTCGACTAGATCCTGAAGAAGACATCTCAAAATAAAACAAGCAATCTAAAAAATAAAGTTTTGCACTTACTTTGACTGCTCGAACTCTAAACTCCCACCTCTGAGATGTTTTCTAATGCTAAAATAATGAAAAACACCCTCTAATAGGACTATAAAACTCCAAAACTAAATCAAATCTACCTAGGTGATGTTTGGATCTATTTTCTGTAACTTTGAGAAATACTTTGATCCAATGAAAGCCAGAAAATGATGTTTTCTTGAGGTTTATTTCTCTCTAAAATGGGTTCTTGTGGGTTTAGGTTCAAATGAACCTAAAACCCATCTTTTGAAACCCTTTATATTTAAAAACAATCAATAGAAACTAAAAAAAAAGTTTCGCCCATAGGCAGGGTGCAGGCCCTGGGCAGCTGCCCAGGGCTGGGCTTTGGGCCGCTGCCTAGGAGGGTTCCGTACTGCCTAGGCAGCTGCCCAGGGACTGCCGTCCAATTTGGTCGCTTAGGCCTGGGCGATGCATCCAGCCCTTCTGGACCGCCTAGGCGCTGGGCGGTCCACTTTTTTTAACATTGTTTGTAGCCATAATAAAAGCCATCTTGGAGGAAGGAGGCAGGGCCGCCGCCCACCCCGGCCCCAACATCGCGGAACCCGTGGTTATGATGGCCACAACCAAACACTATTGTAGGGAAAGAAGTCATTAAGATACCATAGTTTGTTGCAGAGTTGGTGTTATTACCAGCATCATTACTAGTACTGACAAGTGAATCTGTATCTTCAGAAGAAAAGGTTTCCATGGAAAATACATCATTAGCACACCATTAGAGTGTGAACCATCATGGAAATTGGTTGAGTAAGTGCATGTTTCGACACAATCCAAGTTCACCATCTTGCATAAGGAACTCATGCAGTCGAGTGGTTGGTATGTAGACAAACTGGCAGGATTGAAGATTGGATCGCTCTAATCGTAACAATTTGTGCACGGCTTGCACTATGCCCATGTGATGTCGCTACCAGTGTCCATGATCATATGATATTTCATCAGTGTTGGTGTTGTCCGAATCCCTACATCCATAAGTAATCTCCAAAAAAATCTGACCTCGTTTGGAGTTTGGATGGAGGTGATTCTGTAGCAGGGGGTTTTCCAAAGAGGACCCATACGATGTGGTTGCGTCGGGCATCGGAGCGGGAGATAGCAAGTCTCACGCGGTCATATTCAATGGCGTTGGGGTCATAATATGGGGAGAGCTAGGGGAGTCTCAATGGGTGCATCATATTATGAATACTTGAACAATCATTAGAATATAACAATGTCCAACTAATGTGGAAGGGAAACTTTTGAGCATACAACTGGTCATCATCATCATCTAGGCCTTATCGCAACTATTTAGGTTCGGCTACATGAATCTTGTTCTGCCATATAACATTGGATCAAGATTCATATAAAGATGTGGCAAGAGTTTTACGATGGTTATTAACCTAACACAACCCTCCTTTCTCATCCGGGGCTTGGGACAGGCCATTGCTGAATTAGAGCATGCAATTGATATATATATATATATATATATATATATATATATGCACAGAGAGAGAGAGAGAACTACACACAACTAA